GGATGGAATATAGTGTAGGGATGCGCAGAAAATATCATATTTCAAAGCTGAACACACTCCGGCTGACTAGAGTAGAGTCTAGTCACTAGTAAAATATAATGAAAGGGCGCATAAAAGATTGAGCTAAGGTCTGTATAAGTCTAGTTGAGTCTGTTTATATCAGGTCAGTGCGTGTGTGCAATTGGCAAATTTGACTAAAATACATATATAAATAATTGCTCAATTGAAGATACTACCGTAATGTATGTACCAGGTAATGGCATAATTTCATTCCGATTTTCCTTATTTTAGTTCTAGTACGAGTTCGGGAACTGTTTGCGTTAGCCCAGCGTTTCCCAACCTTTTTTCGTCGCGGTCTATTTTCTCAACGGCGGAAACCTTTGCGGACTCAAGATGCGTTTATTGTAACCGTACTCTGTGTGAAGAAGTAATAAAACCAAACACAACAGAATTTTAACGAATTTCAAAACGGAAAACTCGCGGCAATTACGCGTTCGTTAAAAGAGCCGACTCTTCCGTGACAACGACGAGAATTCAAAATGTCTTTCTATTTTAATTTACATGTGTTCACTCGCGGTTGCATCGACTTACGACATGATGAAAGCATTACTTCTTCAAAATGCCACGGCAATCTGCGAACTGATGTGAGAATATTTTGCCCAATTATATTTAGTTTTTATACATATTTTTTGCGATCTTGTGAATTTGTTTTTGCCGTTAGAAAAATTCTACTATATATTTGCGATAAATTTTCAGAAAGTACAACTTGATTTAGTACTTATTAAAAATATTAGTAAATCAAAAATACATATTCACCCCCTTGCTTTATTATTATTATTTTAATCTGCGGTTGTGTTGACGAAATAAAGGCAATACTACTCAGAAAATATCATGACAATCCGAGGACACAAAAATGCGTGGTAAAGTGCTCAATCATATTTTGTTTTGATTCGTATTTTTGTGAATTCGGCAAATCTTAGCTGTTCGTACAACACTTACGGCGCTCCAGTACTGTACGTACCAATGTGGGGGCAGCAAAGCGAAAAATGATATGGAGAAAGGCATTGGTACGTATGCTGCGGTAGAACCCGAAATTTCGCGATTTGCAATGTCTAAAAAGCATTTTTAATCGGTCGTGGACCATCATAAAACTTATGGTGTTCTCCGTTTTATTTTTAGTATTTTGAATTGTCGCTTTTCAATTTAGAAAATTTGGGTTGCCACCATTCCAACCTACCAGAAAAAAATTTATTCCTCGTTGTTCGAACTCGCGAGAAACACCACTTGGTATCAATAGACGCGTGTGCCGACTCATCTTTTCGTCGGAAATCCGCAAGTGAGTTGTGAGATCCAATTGATTTAGGGACGCGCAAGTGACCTGCCGCTTCACCGTTTTATTTTTGGCTTTTTGGATTGTCGCTTTTCAATTTAGAAAATTTGGGTTGCCGCCATTGACATCTATCAGCAAAAAAATTATTCCTCGTTGTTCGAACTTGCGAGAACCACCACTTAGTCATCAATCGACGCGTGTGCAGACTCATGTTTTCGTCGGAAATCCGCAAGTGAGTTGTGAAATTCAATTGATTTAAGGGACGCGCAAGTGACCTGCCGCTTCACCTGTTGGGCCTACAAAATTTTTGAATAGTAAATTGCTGTTCTAACAGTTGAATATTCGAATATATACTCAGCCCTACTCAGTAACCAGTAATTATTGACTCGATTAATGTTATGCGAATAAACTTACTTTTTATGTTTTATTTAAATTCTAACTTAAATCGTAACTTGGCTGATAGGCAAGTTTCGTAAAAACGTTTTCGGCTCGCAGTGAATTTCTAGCTTGTTGCGGACTCATTCAAGCATTCAAGTCTCAAATGAGTCCCAAATGAGTCCGCGGGTTGGGAAACACTGCGTTAGCCAAATGAATATACCCCCTGCCCATAGGTTTCAGTCCCTTTACACAACTTGATGTGGAGGAGGCGAATAAGATTAGTTTCCTCCATATTGGTACACGCACTTCTGCAGCGCCCAATGACACTTACAATACCAGTCCACGTACCCCGCAATTTCTTTGTCCGTCCGCGCGTTTGGATTTCGACCCATTCTCACGAACAAAAAGAAAACTAGCTCCTTTAACATTAAAAGCCTATCGTCACTGGTGAAAGAACAATATTAACAACTTGGAGAGAGAAAAGGGGATTAAACCTTCCATAACGAGACTGATCCTGGTGCAAAATAAATCGGAAATAATCACACACGCTTTAAGCCGTGGCAAAATATAGTTAGAGGTCGAGACAAAAAAAAGCCGCCTACGGCTGGGTGCGTTACTTTACATCAAAACAGCCTTGAATCAGATAATAAGACTATTGATTATGGGACCAGCACAATTATTTTGATGTGTGCAATACACATAGGGTTAGGATCCACAAAGTCTTGTTTTATTTTTAAAATTGCAAAGGGGAATTTATCGATACCATATGTTGTCTTGATGTATTAAAGGAGGTAAAAATACTTAAAATTAAGAAACCATATGGATAAAAGGCGCTTCAGACCAGAATAAATTGGTAATGACCTCGTTCTAAGACTACTCAGTACGACCAGGGGACACATTTTTAATGGGGCAGAATTTAGCGTAGGAATGAACAGAAAATATCATATTTCAAGGCTAACTAGACGAGTACTTTTACTCGGGCAAAATATGATATATATATACGGATGCACAAAGTAAGATTGAACTAAGGTCTGCAATGCATACATCTATTCATATAAACCTATATGGTCAGTACGCCCGTGCGATTGGCAAATTGAATAAAATACATATACCGGTATATAAGCTACCTAATATCGTTTAAGAAGCTAAACGCTTCTTCAAACTAACCCAGTACTTTTACTTGGGCGAAATAAGATATACGGCGTACAATAAAGATACGTCGAGTCTCTCTATGTAAGGTTAGTGCGTCTGTGCAATTGGCGAATTTGACTAAATTACATTCATATACATGTAATTAATAGAGACTTACAATACCTATTCACACACACGACCATTTACTTGGAATTAGCCGTTTTATCCACTTTCTAATCCACCCATTCCCACAAACAAAAGTAAATTCACTTCTTTAACACTAAAAGCTTATCGTCACTCGTAAAAGAACAATATTAACAACTTGGAGAGAGAAAAGAGGATTAAACCTTCCATAACGCGACTGATCCAGGTGCAAAATAAATCGAAAATAACCATACACACTTTAATCCGGGGCAAAATATAGCAGACGACAAAAAAAATGCCACATACGGCTGGGTGGGTTACTTTACATCAAAACAGCCTTGAATCAGTTAATAACTATTGATGATGGGACCAGTACAAATATTTTAACAAGGGCAATACATATAGGGTGTCCACAAAGTCTTGTTTTTTTTAAATTGCAAAGGGGAATTTATCGATACCATATGTTGTTTTGATGTATTAAAAGAGGTAAAATACCTAAAATTAAAAATCAACAAATCTGGATATTAAGATATATCGAAAACTGACTTCATAACAAAATTGAAATTGTCAAAGGACTTAATGGACACCCTGTATATTGGAGGGTGGTAATGAAAAGGTAGGAACTAAAGGTGTATACGCCAAGTTGCTTATGCTTTAGTTCAGGCCAAGCATCATTTTACTCTGGCAAATATAGTAATGGGCTTTCTATGGTAGAAATTATTATATTTCAAGGCTAAAAACCGATAATCAACTGGATCAGTGCACACATACTTTAATCGGCCAAAGATATAATTTAGGGATGCACAAAAAAGGTATAAGTATGTTCCGCTGGCCGCTTGTTGTTTCTGTTAACCTCAGGTTATTATGGCTAGCATACACGGTCGGGTAAAGAATTAGGAACGGATCCAAATATTACTTGACATGGTCCACATTGCAGAATAAAAGAGTATGGGAAATAAGTAGGGCTGGGCGTTTCAAATACATGGTGATTATCGAATTTAATATTTTTTTTAATCGAATCTTGAATACTTACTCGAAGATATGTAATTGTATGAGACTTTTTATTGTGATGGATGGATTACTGAAAACATAGAAACCATCACTCAGACTGATCGCTTAGTGTTCACACACATTGAGAAACATGCTTCATCAATAACCCCACTCGAAAGAAAAAGCCATGTGTCAGAATTGCATTTAAAAAAAAAAATTCAATATAAAATTGAGGGATTCGCAGCAGACCTTTGGCACAAAAACAAAATAGCGCAATTCGAAATTTTCGTTTGAATTGATTCGAAAAATTTACTATTTAAACCGAATCAAAATGCCCAGCCCTAGTAAAAAGGTGTCATAGCTGGGTTTTCAGGTCTGTTCTCTTGTTTCCTTCCATCTTGGTTATGTTAAAAGATGGGGCAATGAGCAAGTTATTCTAATCCAGTGGTTCCCACCTTGTGGCCCGGGGGCCCACAAAACAGTTAGAGGGGCCACAATGCTAAACGCAAAACTGATTTTACTTTTACTAAAAAAAAAACACCATGTTTTTTCTAGTTTCATTGCCCCAAGGTTATTTCACAGATTATTTTCACTTTGGAATTATTCGAACACAATCGGAATCTACCAATCAAAATAATACTAGGAATGCCACTGGGATGATAAACAGGGGGGGGGGGGGGCACCCTCCAGAAGGGTCACGATCAATAAAATGTTGGGAACCACTATTTTAACCTGATATGGGAAGAAAAAAGCAGAACAGAAAAATCGTGATGGGGCGATATACAAAGCTTGAAATGGTTTTGACAAATTAAAATTCATTTATTATTATTATTCATAGAATAATGCCTTCAATAATTAAATAAAAACAATAGCAAGTGATACTACACAGCATGGCTACTCAACTAGCGGACGGCGGTCCGAATCCGGACCTTTCGAGTATTCGATTCGGACCGCACCTAATTCTTTATTTTGGTTCATTAGCCCCACTTTTGAAATTTCATTTTATAAAATGACTTTTATTGTTTTGAAAATAACTATAACATCATAATAAACAATCTTGATTAGCTGAGAATCATTAGCCGGTCGAGGAAGTGCGCGTTTATGGATGCCGAAATATAATTTCATAATTTCTGAAAACACCGGACCCAAATAATCGCGGAGCATCGGTAAAACAAGTTGAGCAGCCCTGCTATTTAGCGTGGCCGAGGATGGTAGAGGCATAGATCAGACTGGAGTCACAATCAATTGACTAGTCAACAACTAAATGCCAGTGAGACTAAACTTAGTGGAAGATATGACTAGAGGAGTGGCTCTCAAACTCAAAAAGAGCTTAAAGCTAATTAAAAATTAAATCATGTGTTAGATTCGATCTTGTTCGCCTTATTTTGGATATTTACGTTTCATCAAGGTATTTTCAACCTGTTTTGTAATTAATTAAACATATTTTTGTCTTACTATCTGTTATTTGAGTTTATTATTAGCAAGTTATTTTTGAGGTGGGACGTGAGACAAATTATAAAAGGGGTCGCGACTTAAAAAGTTCAGAGAACCACTGGAGTGGAGACCATGACGGTGACCTGGGGCTAAGGAATCACACCCAACATTGGGGCAGTGAGTATATGTCCCCACTTGCCCCCTTTTTTCATACATGATAAGCTAAGCCCTACTCTTACTCAAAAATCTTTAACAATGCATCAGTATAGGATTCCAAGTAATAATACTGGGTCGAAGTATTGGCCAAGAAGATTCAAATAAATAATAATCAAATAACTTGCTTTACAATAAGCAAAAACATAATAGGACACAAAATGGATGTCGGAGTTTGGACAAATTTAGACTATAAATGGGTGAGAACATAATACTAGTAGTAATCTGTGGGTCTCGGGTTTATACCAAAGGTGACAGGCCATTGGGACATACAATGGATGCCGATGTTGGGACAAATTTAGACTAAAAATGGGTGAGAACATAAGAGTAGCAGGAATCTGTGAGTCTCGGGTTTATAACTTTATACCAGAGGTGAAAGATAACTGAGACGCAAAATGGATGTAGATGTTTGGACAAATTCAGACTAAAAATGGGTGAGAACAAAAGAGTAGTAGTAATCTGTGGGTCTCTAGTTTATACCAGAGGTGAAAGATAACTGGGACGCAAAATGGATGTAGATGTTTGGGCAAATTTAGACTAAAAAAGAGTTTCAACATAATAGTAGTAATCTGTGGGTCTCGGCTTTACACCAGATTTGAAAGATAACTGGGACGCAAAATGGATGCCAATGTTTGGACAAAAAATGGGTAAGACTATAACAGTAGCAGGAATCTGCTGGGTGTTGGGCTTACACTAGAGGCAAAAGACTAGCACTGGGATATGTGTGGGCAGGCTCAACAAATGTGAGAAGCACAGGCTCAAACATGAGGGACTCCTTGCAACACAACTTAAATGTAAGAGGTGTAAAACAAGACAATACTTCTATCCTTTTATTGAGAAAATTAACTTAAACTTAGGTATGGTATGGATCACAGTTACTCCCAAGTTTTATGAAATAATGCAAAATTTGGTAAAATCGAAATCATTATCAATATCCTAGTCAATTTGCCTCAAAACTAAAGAGTCAACATAAAAACACTTCTACGCGATATTACCAAAATATTTTTTCCCCCTATGGCCAGAAAAAGTATGAGTATACAGTGTTTCTCGAAAATAAGACTGGGTCTTATTTCAATTTTCTTCCAAAAAATACCTCATTTTCGGGGGATGTCTTATATTGTCATTTATCAAAAACAAAATTACAAAGTCGAGAATTACGAGATTTTCGAATATACCAAATGTGAAAACCGATATCCATTTACTTATAAATAACACATTTTTATTCAAAACATAGATTATCAATCATTTATTAACGTGTAGGAGAGATTTCTTGCTATCGACTTGGTCAAAATAAATCTCGCTAGGTCTTGTTTTAAGGGGAGGGCTAATATTGAAATCATTTTTAAAATTCAGGCTAGGTCTTATTTTCGGGGAAACAAGGTATATAAAAGGGTGCTCCCGAAGTATGCGAACCAAGATGGCGGACATCGGAACGTAACATGGGTAACAGGTTAGGGTTAGGCGATAATTTTTTTCCAATTTTCCTTTTTTTAGTCCTATTATCAGTTCGAAGACTAGCCAAGAGCCTCTCGTAGTATTTGTACCTAAAATTATGACCTAACCCTAACCTAGTACACATATTACATTCCGATGTCCGCCATCTTGGTTCGCATACTTCGGGAGCCCCTATAAAAGTATAAGCCACCAATATCTAACGGTGGGTGACTGGCTACTGTTTTTGGGATCTTTTTGGTTTAACAAACCTAATGGTGGGAGCGGGATTTCAACTGGTACTCCCTGAAGTATGTGAACCAAGATGGCAGACACCGGAACGTAGTATGTGTACCAGGTTAAGGTTAGGCCATAATTTTATTCCAATTTTTTTTTAGTTCTATTACGAGTTCGTGGACTAGCCAAGTGACTCCCGTAGTATTTGTACCTGAAATCATGGCCTAACCTCAACCTGGTACACATACTACGCTCCGGTGTCCGCTATCTTGGTTCACATACTTCTTGAATGTCTTTCATGTGTAATCTGCAATGCCGAGACACTTGAGTCTATTGCTTCAACCGCAAGGCTATTAAGCCAAGAAGCAAATTACTATAAAGAAAGAGGAGACATAAGAAAGGAGTTTCACTTCAAAGAAAAACAAAACAAGGCAAAAAACTTGAGGGAAAGGAATAAAACAGTAAACACCGGATTGGCTATAAACATGCAACAGCGTTTGATGTCATAATAGGCACATATATGATGTCAACAATGGTGTTGTTACATCACAATGCACAAGTAATATAATATCACCAATAATCGTGTGACATTTATGGCATCATATTCATCTATGGTGTATAGCCATATTTGACACATTTATGACATCACAAAATGCTACCTATAGCATCATAAAGCAGCAAAAGTTCTTGTTAAAAATCCTATTTATTTACAAACATTCATGGCATTATGATTCAACAATGTCTATTATCACTTTTCTTGGCAGTTCACTTCTTTGGATTCAGGAAACATCTGAAAATAGGAAAATAAATTTTCTCTAGTGAAGCGTGACTTGGACAGAATATTTTTCAATAATTGGAGTATAACTTTAATCAAACTGATGAAGTAATCATTCTGCAGAATCTAAACACTTGAGGCCAATGCTGATATATTGATACCTGGGAATGGTATTCAGTATGAATATACATTTATGTGCCGAAGAGTCCAAGAGAAAGTTTGAATAGCAAAATAGATGACTTAACTCCCATGAAAATCTGAATTTCCAGCCTTCAAATCCAGACTTCGAGGAATTCGACTCAGAAGCCGGACTCTCGTATGTTTGAAAATACAAGACCTGACTTCACATTGTGGGTCTGCAGGGATGTGCGACATTTTTTGTCATTGGGTCATATAACTAACTTTAGATATCTAACCGAGTAACAGAATAAAATTCACTTTTTACATGCAGAATAGAAAAGAGAAAACAATGCCGCTATTGCTTAGCCTTGCAGTGTTAAAGATAACAGCGGAAGATTCAACACAACAACATGACAAAAAAAAATATGTATTTTACCCAACTAAGCAACTGTCAGATTTTATGTTTGATGGAGAAAAATCTGGTTGTTGACAAGGGCGACACTAAATGAATTGGCAGGCTGGCTTGCGTAAATGACTAGCTCACAAAACCCTTGATTTCTCTTTTTGGGCACATTAAAAATCTATGAAATAAACTAATACTCACAGCTAGCAGGACATTCGTTCAATCTTCTTTGGACTTGGTCATAGTTGAATTTAACAAATGCATCGTATTGTTCTGAAATATTGAAGAAAAATTTTACAATTAAAACTTTTCGATCTTTTTGCGTCCAAATCTAAGTGACGCGCCACGGCACAAGCCATGACTGTCCTACTCTGGATACGCTACTATACCAGAGATTTCCATATTGAAGCAACTAAGTGACACAACCAGGGGTGGGATTCATACATTACGGATTTATATTAGAAATGATTTGCCGTTACTCGTCCAAATTTTCTGAACATATTCCAGAGAGAACATAACTTTTGGGCAAAGCGTCCTGGATTGATGAAACTTTTGGATACAATCACAAACAACCAGTGGTGGAATTCAAATTATTTTGTCAGTCGGTTCCTTCACAAAAATCATATTTTTCAGCCGGTTCTGTTACAAACAGAACATTGACAGTAACCAGTAATACTAACCGGTTCGCTGATCTCATAAACTTCCGAGAGACGGTTCTATAGAACCGGTTCGAACCGGCTGAATCCAACCACTGGGCACAACCAATACAAATGTTTTAGGAGTTATCTTCATCCCGCTCAGAAGGCAGATAGGTGCTCCCGAAGTATGCGAACCAAGATGGCGGACATCGGAACGTAACATGGGTAACAGGTTAGGGTTAGGCGATAATTTCTTTCCAATTTTCCTTATTTTAGTCCTATTATCAGTTCGAAGACTAGCCAAGAGCCTCCCGTAGTATTTATACCTAAAATTATGGCCTAACCCTAACCTAGTACACATATTACATTCCGATGTCCGCCATCTTGGTTCGCATACTTCAGGAGCCCCGGCAGATATTACACATTTATAACATTTGCATTTGAGAATTTAATACCATTTAATTTTTTAGAATTTGGTCGTACAGAATAGACTTGATATCTGATGATGTAATAATTGAAAATTGACCAAACCATTGTTCCTCTAAACTGGGGCTGTGCAACCTGCGGCCCGCGGGCCCAAGAGGAAAAATTGTGGGCCAAATTTGAATGATGTGCGGCCCATAAATCTGGATTTCAATTTAGTTCAATCTGGTACGTACAAGTAATTTAAATCCCCTTTGCTCTTACCTGACAGCTTAAGAACAAGGACTTTCTCGTATTCAGATCTCAGTTTTTCTTCTTGTTCCTTCAATAAACGCTCGCATATCATTCCAACCTAGGAAGAAATATATCGATGGATGGTACTCAGTGGCGTGTCTAGAGGGGGGGGGGGGACAAAGGGGCAACCGCCGCGGGCAGCACATTATTTATAGGAGTGTTTTTGTTGCTTGGTTTGATGATTTAAATAAAAGATACACCCTAATTATGTGAACCAAGATGGCAAACATCGGGCTGTAGTATGTGTACAAGGTTAGGGTTAGACCATAATTTCAGGTCCAAATGCTACGAGAGTCACTTGGCCAACCCTGACCTGATACACATACTACGTTCACATACTACAGGAGTACCAAATAAAAATATTACAAACGATTCACTCCTACTTGAAATTAATTATTCTCATGTATAACAACATCTATAATACATTTATGAACCAAATTATTTTTGGAGCAAGGTATAAGGGGCAGCAATATCAGAAACCTCCCACGGACAGCAGAAAAGTTTGACACGATACTGCTTGTTTAGTAGGAAGAGTTTGAAACGAACTGAGAATCACATGACCAATTAGTCTACTCTAGTTCAGAGGTGCACAACTCAAATGAGGATAACCCAATATTTTTAAAATAATCTTGTCGTGTGTGGCATGGCATGTTTGAATAATTGGCGGTATTGTAAACAACTTATAACACATTATCTAGTTGCAATGAAGTCATGCCCCTAATTATGATATACATCACCCACTTGGTATGGCCCTTTTTTTTGACGACCCCCAGAAACTCAATGTGTTTGCATATTCCTGCACAAAATATTGATTCTTGACTCTATCTCGGTGAGTCTCAGACTCTCAGTACTAATTCCAAATCTTCTCATTTAATTTAACATAAGTTAGTGTCGAAAATATTTCTCACACACACAGATAAGTGAGACAAAAAGAAGAAGAAAGTATGGCTAGTTCTGACAACAATGGGTACCGTGACACCCATTGAACCATGTGATGCCCTAAAATAGCAAAATCCAAGAATTAATAAACGGTATACCTGCTTCATAGTAAGAAGCGGGGTGTTGGTAACTTTCTTATCTTGTTGTTGCTCTGCAGCACCACTAGTGGACGGAAGTGAAGAGCTTGGTTGGAATGGAGCAGAAGAACCTGAGTATATAGAGAAAATAAAATGGATATTACAAATTGTGGAATATACCAGTATAAGCACATAAAACATAGAGCTCATGTTCATATTATATTCCCATTGCTCAAACAAAGATAATATTAATTGGTTAGGCCAGGGCTACTCAACTGGCAGACCATGGTCCAAAACAGACCTTTCGCGTATTTAATTTGGACTGCACTCGATTTTTTTATTCGGATGATTGGCCCGCCCCACTGTAGATAAGTGAAGGTTTCCTTTATTAAATGCGATTATGAACAATGCGTATAGCGAATAATCACTAGCCAGCCGATGAAGTGCGCGTTCAAGGATATAATTCCTGAAAAGACCGGCCTACAGAATTTCGAAAGTTTTTTTCATAAGTGCCTTTGGTAAAAATAGTTGAGTAGCCCTAGGTTAGGCAATGCTGAACCAAAAACTGATTTAAAATATCAGCATTGCAATAGTTAGTCTTGCTTGGGAGTGAAAATTCCATAAAAATGACATAGTATGTCATGAGAGTTTTTTTTATAGTTGATCAGTGTCACAGGAAGAATTTACAAGAGAATTCCACCATAATTAATCAGTAAAAATCCATATTTATTCCCAGTTTTTTTTTTACTGTTTATCGGTGTCACTTGAAATTTAATCCAATTTAGAAAGTATCGGGATTCCATTTTCGGAAATATTTTCACAGAATGTATTCCAAATAGTGAAATATTCGGTTTCGGCCATCTCTGATTTCACTATAATTGATCAGTGAAAATTGCATGTTGTTGTATAATTTTCATACCAAGCAAAACTAGAGATATAACAAAAAAAAACGGAAACTCAATAGAAAATGAGTTTTTCGTAACAATAAAATTTT